TGCTCGGGAGGCGCCCGGCCGCCCCCCCCCTCACCCCCGGCCCCCTGCCCTCCATCCGCTCCCGGGACCTCACCCTGGGAGGCGTGAAGAAGGTGAGTACCCCGGGGAGGGCTCCCCAAAACCCAGCTTGGCGGGGTGACCCTGCGTCCTGCCCTGCTGCTTGGGCTATGGGTGCTTGGGGACCCCCACAGCAGAGGTGGGGTGCGAGGAGGGGCCCCAGGAGGGGCAGGCAGGGGGGTTTTGGGGTGCTCCGGAGGAGCTGGTCCGTGCGGGACGTGGCCGGGTCCCCAGCCGCCTCCTCCAGCCCCGCGGCCGGTTTGGTTTCTGTTGCTTATCTCCGCTCGTGCAGTGACTTGTCCCTCTGCTCTCGTTTGCAGAAAACCTTCACCCCCAACATAATTAGCAGGAAGATCAAGGAAGAGTAAGTGGCCTCGTAAGCGTTTCCCTGGGGTGTGGAGGCGGTTTTGCTGGCGGGTACCTGCACGGCGGGGTCTCGGTGGGCAAAACACGCCCTGAGATGGAAACCTGCTGCCAGGAGGGTGGCGGGGGACAGGGGTGACCGGCCACCTCCCCGCTCCCCAGGCCCAGAGAGGATGTCTCCGTCAAGAAGGAGAAGAAGGAGCGGGACCGGGACCGGCAGCGTGATGGGCACGGCCGGGGCCGGGGCCGGCCCGAGGTTATCCAGTCCCACTCCATTTTTGAGCAGGGCCCTGCTGAAATGATGAAGAAGAAAGGTAACGGGAGCTGCCCCCTCCTTCCTGGGGGGGTGTGTGTGTGTCTCGGGGCCGTCCCTCCCAGCTCAGGGCTCACCCCAGGGCTGCTCCCCTCTCCCCAGCAGGCTCCTGGGACAAGACAGTGGACATGTCGGACTTTGGCCCTTCCCACATCATCAACATCAAGAAGGAGAAGAGGGAGACGGACGAGGAGACGAAGCAGATCCTGCGGATGCTGCAGAAGGACGATGTGAGCGGGACCGGGGCGAGTGGCTTTGGTGCCACCGGGCCAGTGCTGAGCGTCCCCTCTCCCGTCCCTGCAGTTCCTCGATGACCCGGGGCTGAAGAACGACATCCGTAACAAGCCGGTGCAGCTGCCGCTGGCCCACTCGGGCTGGCTTTTCAAGGAGGAGGCGACGGAGCAGGAGGACTCCCAGCCCTGGCTGCCCGGCCCCAAGGAGGAGAAGATGGAGCTGGACCCGCCGGCGGGGG